CACACACACACACACACACACACACACACACACACACACACAGCTGGGTAGATTACTGATTACACATTACATGATGAAAACTGTAGTTAGTAATGTAATCTAAGTTACTCATTTTAGGTAATGTATTCTGACTACTTTTTAGATTACTTTTTTATCTAACTTGTTTTAAACTTGCCACTGAACGTACCATGTTGATATAAAAAAGCAAAGAGAAAGAAAATATATTCCATTCTTTTTTTTTTTCAACATCATAAAATGCATTAAACATTACATTAAACCAGAGTTTCCCAAACTGGACTCAATGTAAGAACCGCAGTGAGTTTGTGAGTTGATAAAAAGTTAATCATTAATTAAACACTAAAAATAGAAATATTTCATTTGTTAACCTGCATGTCAATGTGACGATTAAGCGACAACGAACTGTAATGTGTTGTTAAATTATTGAAATATTAACTTCCTCAGAGATTTCTCAAGAAAATATTTCAGGTCAAAGTGGTTTTGGCTGACAACAATGTTTGGGAATCTATTTAAAAGACGAATTAATGAGAATCAATAAATTATGAATGATTCACTGCCATTGTGTGTATAATATGTAATCATGTAATCCATAAAGGTAACTGTAATCCGATTATGAGCATTATAAAATGTAACATACTCTTGACTACTTGATTACAACTACTTGATTTTTGGAATCTGATTATGCAATCCAGATTACATGTGATCAGTTCCTACCCAGCTCTGTATACTGTATATATCTATATATATATATTTTTTAAATATGCACTTTAGCCCCAGCCTCCACTCAATCAAATTATCAAAAAGTATTTGATGATATTGAAAATAAAAACTACTGGACTTAAAGAACAGAAAAATGTACATATAAACCATTTTGAGGGATGTAAACAATAAAAATCTAACGCAACGGTCCTAACGCATTTCCCGTATTATACTTTTAATTTCCATAACTTCTCCATTCAGAAAGGTCCACATTTTGATAAAAATGTTATGACAGCCGTGTTAACGTTAGTTATGACTGAAGTGCCTCCTATTACTGTTTTGAAAGTTTGACAAGCAGGAAATGTTCATGGGTCAGTGACATGACCGCACTGAAAAGGTCTATTCAAAAATTTGTACTCACACTGAAAAGGATGATGAGTTTCCCTTTCTCAAATGGCCGACGGTGCATTGGCATCCCCTCATTCAGAACACATTTCTTATCCCCAGGTCTGATCAACTCCCCTATTAATGCAACAAAGAAAGACAATACATTTGCTTTACCCATCTACAGTTTATATTACAGTTATATCAGCTCTGCTATTTTTAAGATTCATTTAACAACTAGCCAAGCTTCTAATTGGTAGTTTTTACTCTCTAAATGAGTCTTCAGGAGTAAATTGAGAAAGATATCAGAACCAGTTACACCAAATCCAGGTAGACCAACTTAATCACAGCCTACAAGAGATATTACATACATGCCTGGTTGTCTGGTGATATACAAGGTCAATAAAGCACTAAGGATTAGGAACTCTGGAAAAGCCAATAGCAACAATGACCAGAAGGTGTGCCATCTGCCAAGGTTACGTAATATCTCTCCTGCCATTCTCCCCAAGCCAGATCATCACTAAGAGTGGATATGCTTACAGGTTCAAGACAGAAACTTCCATCAGGCTGTATGCAATGACCAGCACAGACCCACCATGTTGCTGATGTTATAGAAACCTGCATGTAATGCTTGAATATTTATGTAGGATGGTTCACCTGGATGGGATGTGATGAGTAGAGTTCTGTTGTCCAGTGTTTTAACAGGTTTTTGAAAACCACATAATGACTCTACCAACTGTAGCTCCATGTTCATGATGAGGTCCTCTGCTTGTCTGACAGGGGAAACGGTAAGTACATTAATCATTATGTTTCTTACATAATATCTATATATTCTGTTCCCTAATTGCCTTGTCTAAATGACCAAGTACTGTAACAGGCTGTCCCATATACAGAAAACACAGAAAGCGTGACACAAATCCTGAAATAAATGAGCCAGTGCTGCCATCTCCAGGACAATATCATCAATGACATACCTCTGAAAATAACACAGCCCCTGCATCTTGAAAAACAAAGCCTAAATTTGATGATGGCAAATAAAAAAACAATCAAAAGTTTCCATCACATGCAGTTCATATTATGCACTTATAATAACGAAATGACAGCAGTCAAATGTCAAAAGTTTAAAAATAAGTATAATAATAATTTAACTTACAATCTGTGAAGTAGTTGAATTTTTTTTTTTAAATATTCAATTTATTGTTGCTACATAACACAAGTTATGTACATAATAAAGAACTTTACATAAACACAGGTTTTTAAATAAATACTCTTTTTTTTTTCATTTAAAAAAATAATTTTCTGTCGTTTTTTAGATGTAGTAAAACACCCACAGAAGTGAACTTTCAGTCACTGGCTATAATTCTAACCTTGAAATAAGGATTATGCATAAAATAATGTCTTCAGAAGCATTCATACATGTGAAAATCGGCTGAGAATTAAACAATTGTCTTTGTGGCAGTTTTCCTGGTGGTTGGAGAATAATACAAGACTTCTTCAAAGAACTTTACATAAACACAGGTTTTTAAATAAATACTCTTTTTTTTTTCATTTAAAAAAATAATTTTCTGTCGTTTTTTAGATGTAGTAAAACACCCACAGACGTGAACTTTCAGTCACTGGCTATAATTCTAACCTTGAAATAAGGATTATGCATAAAATAATGTCTTCAGAATCATTCATACATGTGAAAATCGGCTGAGAATTAAACAATTGTCTTTGTGGCAGTTTTCCTGGTGGTTGGAGAATAATACAAGACTTCTTCACCTTACAAATGGTTTTTGAAAGCAAAAATGCTACGAAATGCACATATTTTTTGAGAAAATATGATGTACTAGACACTATTTTTAGAATCAGCACCCCAAAATTAGCAAAAAAAAAAACAAGTATTGAATTTCATTCAGCAAATATAATGCAGGACAGTGTAATCAGCGTCAACTTCAAACTTCAGTATTATCAGCATTATTTAACATAAATTAACAAACCAAACCAATTACATAACGAAAAACAAAAACAAAAAATCAACCAGGAATTCAGAGACTGACTTCTACCGTGTGGTTTTACCTGGTGAAAACCGGGTGTGCTCTCTGATCCAAGACAATAATAATGTCTCCAGGTTCAAGGCCAGGCTCCTGGTCGCCCTCCCCATGGAACACTATTTTCTGTCCATCTTTCATACCTGCAATAACACATAATCAAGCATAAATAAAAGTAACAGACTGCATAGAACAGATGTTTTGGACTAAACCGTGCTTTTCCTATCACTTTCTAACCTTTATTAATGTGCACATCAAGAATCTTCTTCTGTCGTAGTATCTTGCGACCAGCGCATGTTTTGCAACGGTCGCGGTGACCAAGTCGCTGACCTTGCCCCTGACAGCCGGAACAGACTGTTGATATCTGCTGCACCATGCCAGGTGCTAAGTGATGTAGTCTGACCTGGACACCCACCCCACGACACAAAGGACACACTTCTATCACTCCTTTACGGCCTCCACGACCTGTAGTACAAAATTCAGTGTAAAAAAAAAACAAAACAGTTATAAAAAAATCCAACTATTGTTTTTTAAATACTTAAGCAGCACAACTGTTTTCAACTTAGGGATGCAGCGATTAACCAGTTTCACAATTAACCGCGCATTAAAATGTCACGGTTAATTAATCGTAAAGGCTCCGCTACACCGAGTGTTTCTGTTCCACAGAACGGAACAGTTGCAACGTGCGCAAAACGAAAACAAAGTTACACTAGCGGTGCACCGGCTTTAAATGCTGTGCTTATCAGAGACACGGAGGCTACTACACACACTAGATTAACTTTGACAGAGGAACCAAACAGCGATCCTTTATTTCCACCAGAGAGATTCCTGAAGTCGATAGTGTGGGACCATTTTGGGTACACCAAGAATGACCAGGGTGTCATTTAAATATTGCCGTAAAAACGGCTGCTAAAGAGCGAATACACGGCTTTAAACTATTTTATGCTTATTAGAGACACAGAGGCTAATACACACACTAGATTAACTTTGCCAGACGAACTGAGCAGCGATCCTTTATTTCCACCAGAGAGATTCCTGAAGTCGATAGTGTGGGACCATTTTGGGTACACCAAGAATGACCAGGGTGTCATTTAAATATTGCCGTAAAAACGGCTGCTAAAGAGCGAATACACGGCTTTAAACTATTTTAATGCACGACGTGAAGGCAAGACTGACGCGAAGCTACGGCTCGTTATCCCAGTATTCTGTCCACTTCAGATCAGACAGATGACATAGTGTGGTAAGATCACATTTATTTGAATTAATTAATTATAACATTTAGCTACTTGAATTAATTATTTGATCGAGAGAGAGGGAGAGATAGAGAAGTGTGTGTGTGTGTGTGTGTGAACCTGCGTTAGCGCGTCTCTCTACAAACATGTGAGTTTAGTTACTTAAACAGTGATTTTACCCTCTCCTTG